AGTGCTGGTGGTGTTTCTGCAGTAGTTTCTAACAAATTCTTTATGCGTGAAAACCTGCTCATTGAGGTGACTTCATGCAGCAGTTAGCTACTTCTCAAAGGTGTCTTCTACCCTGCAAATCGTAGACTAAAGGTGTGTGGCTAAAGAGTGAACTAATCAGCTAATGATTTAATACAAATGTGAGTAAATGGCCAAATCTGTGGTCAGGCTGAAAAATCACCTCTACAGCTGCAAATGTACTTTTAAAATTCATATTCTGTTTTCCTTAACCCTTATCTTAACAGGTAAGAGTTTACCCTTTAAGTTAGTGCTTACCTGAACATACTTCAGTGATTCTCTGATTCTAACTTCATAGACATTGAGTAAAGAAATGCCTACTTTGAGTCCAGAGGTACAACAGCAGCAAAGCCCACACATTCTAGCACCCGGATGAGAATTTTGCCTAATATTCAGGGAGGAAAACAAACCTGCATATTTAATACTGAAGTGTGCAAAAGGGAATCCGTCAAAACTAGTATAAAGAAGGACTGGATTAAATAAAATACATTTGCAATTCTTGTGACAGAAGAAGTAGATTTAGAGTTAATCAAAGGGGCAAGCAATCAACTGTGTTATTAGAAAACAGGATTTCTCAACTCTGGTTTAATTTCATGATAAGCTCCTGGTCTCTGCTTTGTGTTTCAGTGACGGTGTGATCTGCTGCGGAACCTCTAAGCCTCTCACTGAAGTGCCTGGTGGATCTACGTGTGTACACGTATAACCACATAGGCATTTAATAATAAGGAGCTTTGGGACAGATAAATATGTTATGGTGTATGGATGACGTGACTAGTCGTTTGAAAGAAACCACAGAACAGAGAATGGCAACCAAAAGCCACTACCAGAGGGTTTGTGTATCTATTGCTGTACTCAGGGTAAATACCATCACAACCCTGTAAAACCACGGGCTGTAAGCACAGTCCCACCCAAACACAAGGGAGCTGGCCAGGTAATTCCGAGCCTTTTCCCAAGGTGGTTTCTCCCTGTCAGGGTAGAGGCACATACAAGAAAGAAGCCTGAATTGCTCCAGATCCTGTTGTAGCTACTTCGATCTCGAAGAGAACACGCTAAGGCTTGCTTCCAAACACCGCTCAATTCCAATCAAACCACTTAAATAAAACAATCTCATGTACAAATGTAGGAAGAAAAATAATTCAAGTGCAAGGCACCGCTGAAGCAAAGATTTGGATCCCAGCCAGAAACCCACTCATCGGAATTCACTGCATCCCTCACACTGTGCAGATGAAGTAGCAGTAAAGAATTTAAATGACACGTATATCATTTGGGGGGCCTTTTTTTTTTTTTTGACTGGCCATGATTTTTGACATCATGTGCCCATGTGTTGTGAATCTCCTGGTGATGGTTTCATTAAAAATAACTGAGTTTGACCCATTTTATCAGCTTATTGATATACACCCTTCTCAGGTATACCTAAACCTGTGTATGTAGGACTGTTCACCGGCAGCTAGTAGCAAGAAATAATCCTGCTAGCACCTGCAAGTAATATTTGCAGATTACAAGCAATACCAGCACTTCACTAACACCTCTCTGAGGTCAATGACCAGCTGAAACAGAATTATTACTGATTTCTACCAGGAAGAGAGAACAACTGAATATGAAGCATTCAGACACCCCAGGCTGGAATTTCTTTTTTTTTAATTTTTTTTTTTTTAAATGTATACCACCGTGAGACTTCCTTACACCAGTTTAAATTTCGATGAGCGCCAAAGATCTACCTTAAGAGGAACAGCAGCTTGTCGGCAGGTACGTATTTCTGATGGCAGAATATGTTCCTCAAACAATTATGTCTTATCATAACACTCACTTAAAATTTTACATCAAACTGTATCATGGGGCCCTTTTAAATTCCCCTCATTAATGATGATTATGTAAGTACCATTAGATGTGAGACATTTCCATATTGCTCGTAGGAGTTATGATTTAATTCTATTACAATCTACTCCACCATTTGTGTAATCACGCCTGACACTTTACCTTTTGTTTTGTAAAACATTATTGTCTGCCACAGAAGAAAAAAAAACCAAACCCAGATGATATTTTGTTTGTCATTGCAATCTGATTGAAAAGATGTTATTAATTAAATGTTGTACACAGTTATACCTGAAAACTCACTGACAGCTCTTGGGAGAAGATATATTACTGGAAGACAGTTGTTATTTAGGTCTCGGAGGCAACAGAGAGACACTAATAAATCTTCCACGCGTTCCTGTGAATTAGCTAGATATTATTCCGCATTTGCAGGGAACAGTTTGGATTTTCTTCGGCCTTTGCTAGTGACTAGCGTGGCTCAGCGTGGTCCGTGACTCTAGGAGCCACTACAAAGCAACACTTGTGCTTGCTTTATCTCAGTAGGTGAGTTTGCAAATACACAGAGAGCAGAACCGAGAGGCCGCTTCCCTCACGAGACACAATACAATGTTCCGGTTTAGTACCTAGGCCGAGCTTTTTGCCAAAAGGAGGAGGCAAAGACATTTTACCAGAGGTGGAATTTTCGTTTTCTGTTTCTCACTCATTTTATTTTCTTCCTTTACAGGATAATTAAGTAGAAACAGCTACAAAATTCCAACTGCCTACAGTGAGAGTTTTGATCAAGTCCCTTAACTAGCAGCAAGTTTCCTTTCACAGAAGTTATGCTGGTAGTCCTCCTCATGGTAATACTATTGTTCTTTTCTTCTGAGCAGAGAGAAGGTCCATCTCACAAACAAAGAGGAGATTTTTCAGAAATTATTATAATAAACTTGATTTCCCCCCCCCCCGCCAGCATTTTCAACGTAGCGCCCCATAGGTTTATCGGGAATTTCATCAACAAAGAGTTTTTGAAAGTTCTTACCTTGGTCACAGAGGAATATAGTGAATTAAATTTTCCTCCTCAATGTGCTCTCTGAGCTGGGGCTTCTGAGTACTCTGAAGGTAAATGTGATGTGACTAGTGATCAAATTGCTTCATAAGGAAAAGTTCATCACAGTCAGGGTAACTGCTTAAAATGCAACATAAACAAACAGGTCTGTGTCAAAATATTTTGACTTTGTGTAAACAATTCAAGATGTATTACTCTGGAGATAATGACACATAATGCTGTATAAAATGTTCTGAAAGGGTTTTACTGAATTAATCTGCATTTGAGTTCTCAAAGAAAATTGGTCTGTGCGGTGGAAAAATGTGAACTTCTGTGTTCTTGTTGAATATGATCCCAACAAGGTCTGGAGCTTCCAGAAAGCATCCTGGGGAAGGGCTTCACAACTACAAGGTAAATGGGAAAAGGGCGATTTTCAGACCCTGTACTGTCTTTACTCCCATTCACAGAGCGTCAGAAATTGGTGTGTATGGCAGCCTGGAATACACGATTTTGTCTGAGTAAGTATAAACGAAGTATTCCTTACAACTCTGACGCTACATCTTCCAGGCAAACACTCTTTCTCCTTTTAGCAACATCACGAGTTCAGGTCTGGAAAGGACAGCGGTTAGTGTTTTAAAACTCTGCTAATAAAAGTAAGGGAAAGCAATCTGTACATAGGAGTTTATTTAGATGCCCACAAGTTTGAAATCATTCCTCTTTATATCTCAGCCCACTGGATATCTCATCCAACTGAATTACCATTGGGTTTTACAATGTGATATACAAAATGAGCTGACGTTATGATTTACAAACATCCTTTGAGTATCATATAAAACACAACTGTTTTCCTTATTATACAATCATCAGGGCAATGCAAATATAGTCAATACATTAGTAGCCGAAAATGATGGGGCATTTTAAGAAAATAAATTTAACTTTACCACACAAACCTGTTAGAGAAAACAAATCCTGTTTAAAAAATGGGAATAAAGTTGTCTGAATGATTGCAAGTAATTTTTAGATTGTTTTGCCACTGTCCCCTTTTAAGAAACATAACAGTACTTCATTTAAAAGACGACTAATTTTTTTCACTGTATAGTCACACTTCATTCTTATTAATCAGTTTCACATTTTCTGCATGAAACTACGAAAAACTCACAAATGTAGACTTTCCAAACTGTAGCCACTATACTTATTTCTGCACTCTTTTCCATATACTCAGTGTGTTTAATTAAATAAACAAAAAGCAAAAAACACTACACAAATGAGCAGAACAAAACACAACAGCACATTAAAAAGGTGACATTTAAGCTGTAGATGCCATCATCGTAGAAATGTATTCTTGTTCTAATGCCACAAACTTCCTAGCCTCATGGAAAAAAAATAGATATTAGCTGAAGAGAATCGAAACTCTAACCTTGATATAGGGCTAAGAGTTTTAATTTGTATTTCTGTCTAAACGTAGCTACTAAACAACACTGTCTGCATGGTAAATTTAAAACTAACTATTACTGAACGTCATAAAATGTGGAAAAAGACAATCTCTTTCTGAGCTGTTAATTGGGTAATAAAAGTTACCAAGTGTTAAGGTCTCCTGTCCCGCATGTCGCTGGTACAGGTGCTTCTGCACTTTGTCATTATGGTAGCAGTAACTGAGAATGGCAGACATCATTATTACTGTAAATACAAAAAAAGGAAAAATTCTAAACTCCCCAATGGTGTTACAACTGAAAGCAAATTCTAACTTAGTCAATTTAAATTAAATCATCTTAAGGGTCTCTGACTGTTTTATCACTGCACAATCCAGAGGGATTATACCCTTTTCCAGCACCTGCAGTTTCTCTTGCAAAACAGAATACCGATAATGACTGGTGATTCTTTCCTGAATGTGTGTTGAATTGGCAGTGGAATGTGGTTTTAGTTCCATTTCTCGCTATAGGAGTCTTGCTGCTGCTCCGCACGTTTGGAGAAGAAAGTGCTTTTTTTTTTGCCATTTCATTAAGTTCATGGCATTTAATTTTATAAATTTTTAAGACAGACTTATTTTGATTACTTCCATTCTGTCCAATCAAATATACCTTTGAACACTTTAAAACGTTGGACAGCTGTGAAATATAAGTACTATGCAATTTGACTGTACATACATACATATTTTCATAAATACATCTGACAGGGACCTTGGAACTAAGTATGTGATATCATGGGACAAAATCACAACAGGCTGTCTTATCTGTAAAATCTAGATTCAAAGTAAGAAGAGCTGAATTCTATCATGTCGTCAATACACAAATTAAAACAAAAATACAGCATTAGTTTACCCATGAAATAATTTAAACGTATTTGCAAATGTCTTGACAGGAAAAGTGTGTAATTTACAACACTGAAAACTTTTAACAACCATTGACTTATATGCGCTGTACTGTAAGTCACCCAGACAAGGCTAGCAAGGATGAGCATAGTGATAGGTCCCAAAGGCAACTCCCAAACATCTTCCTCATGCGGAGACTTTGGTAATTGTCTGTTGTATAAAACGCCAATGCATACGACTTCATTTCAGGTGTTAACTTCATCAGTTTTCCTCCCTCGGCACAGTCCAGTCTGACTATGTCAGTTATTGTTGAGACACTCTAAATCCACCGAGCAGCAGACGTTCCCATTCTGCACAGACAAACAAGCAGGTGTCAATCAGCTCCGCGGAACAAGTCACAAAGAGCAAAGGGGTTGGTGGCACGCAGAGATAGATGCATCTCTGACACAGCTACCGCATACAAAAATCTGCGTAAGCCATCATCCCAAGGTGTCCTCACCGGTCCCAACCGTGGTGGCTTTTTTGAGGAGGCTGACTTTGCCAAATAGCACTGAACTGGCCTGAGCTACACGTGAACTAGAAACCTGGATGTGAAAGACTCAGTGGTCCCCATAATAAAATACAGCACAACAATTGCAACAGAGATGATTGGATTTTTCTCCCACGCAAGACAGTTAATGGAGAGAGTTTTCACACGATCCATGCGGGGAAGCTTTCTGTTTGCCTGAAATAAGCAGACAGTTCAGATTCTTGACTCACGGCAGATACGTACGGGGGCGGGAAACCATACAGCTTTGGAGTTTAATCCATTGTTAAATATCTTTCTGCAACATGCAGTCATTTACAAAACTATCTTACATAAAAAAACCCTACAGCAACCACCAAAACCCCAAATGAGCATTTTTTTTCCCTTTTTTTTTTTTTTAAATCCAACACAAACCAATAAGAAAAACTCTGAAGAATGGCAGAAAAGCTACCTTCAATAATTTAAAGCCCTGGAGCAACAGCTCGGTTTCCCACAGTGAACAGAACACTTTATATAACCCAAAACAACATTTTCATAATTCTGATATTAGCGCAGTGGGGTCATCACTGCACGGAGCAAGGGAGACAGACTGCATTTCTGCATCAGAGCCATTGGATTAAATACATCTTGATGAGATCAGCGAACAGAAACTGTAACATTCCCTTCCCACTTCTGTTGTGGGAGTGACTTCATCTCTGAGCTGCAATGCGTTTCTGCTTGTGCACTTGCTGGTGAAACTTTTATTAGTGTTTTTGCCTCTGCTTACCAGCTCTGTAATACACATTTTCATGAACATCCACATCAGGCAATTATTAAAATATTAGCCTAGATTCATACTGAGAATGCCTGAAGGGCTCTCCAACAGAGTGTCTGAAAGTTGCACTAGGATATTACAACATATCTGCGCTCAACATTTTCAACAAGCACAGAATTGGGGTTTTTCCACCCTGCAAAACACAAAAGGCGTGGGTTTTCTGTAGGCTTCTGCCCTCGGGTCTCATTTTACTTCCCCAAGATCTGAACGTGACCTTCCAAGGGCAGAAAGTGACCCTGATTTTATGTAGCAACATGCATTTCCATTACCTTTCCCCCTTGCCCATCGTACCTTGCATTTGCAGGTTGTACAAGGAGATCCCACCATTGTCCACACAGCGCCACTAAGTCTTGTGATTCCATAGCCATCTAGACAGGTTTTCCTGATGTCGTAGGTGATGTTGTCAGCCAGACAGGGGTCATTGACACAGTGCGGACAGCACTCTCCGTCTGAGATGGCTGTGTACTCGCAGTTTAGATTTGGGCACAGAAGAGGCCAGCAATCCACCTCTCCTTCCTGTAAAAATTGGAGCAAAGCTCATTGTATTTGTTGCTGTTCATTAGCTACCAGGAAAGTTTGCATCCTATTGAATGGAAAAGTTCTATTTTGCCAAAACTGAAATAAACTTAATGGATCAGCTCGCAGTTTGGTTGATCGTATAAATGCATGTTTGAATACTGAGCTGAAGTTTCCCAAATGTAGCAGACTATCATTTGGTTGTTTCTTGACTAACCACCACCACTGTCATCATTGTAGCAGGGGAATTTGAGTTCTTTGGGCATTTTAAAGGCAGCATTAAATACTGGGTTCCAACATTTTCCATAAACTATAATTTTTGCAGTGATCACCTTGCAGACTCACGCGCTCTTTCTACGCCTCGTCACATAAACATCTCTGCGGGATCGCAGCAACTGCTTAAATAGAAAATTAACACTGCAGATAGATGTAGGTTAGTATGTTTGAGAAGCGTTGCACATCGATCTAACTAGCAACAGCCAAAATTGATTTTATTGTCAACTCCTAAAGGAATTGTTAGAGCAATACCAGTTATGTTCCAGTGAGCCATTTTATGTTACTATTTAGCTTTGTAAAAATAGCTAGAAACATGGAGAAGAGAGAATCATCAGGTCACTTCTGTAGAGTATTGCTGTGTGTGTCTAAACTTAACCTGCAAAGGGCTCCAATAACTTGCATTATGCTACTCTCTTAAGCACTTCAGGTGTTGATAACACCACACACCGCACAGAACCCTACATGTAGCGCTGACTTAGGGCATCGCTGTCTTTTGGCTCTGTATGTTAACCCGATCATAAAATTAGGCAAAGAACTTCTAGCCACAAAGTCAGTTTCCCTCGTAAAACGTCTCACATCTAATACTTGCCATTGCTGCTGGCTGCAAATATTTCTTGCTGTTCTTTTGTGAACATTAAAAAAACAATCTTAGGAGAATACAAAATACAGTACTTACTGCTGTACATTATGGATAATTATCTCTTAACAGTAACTTAGCTTTGAATGTAATTTGTTTCCTGATGCTCAGACACCTCTTGATTAATATCATATATAAAGACTACGTTATACAGACAGCTATAAATGGAAAACTGATAACTTTAAGGAAGTTCATTGCTGCACTAATTAGTATACCTGAGCAAAACTTAAGGCTTTAGGGAAATAATATGCAGTGCCTAATGAGAAAATAAATGTTCTTTATTCTGCATGTCTGTCTCGTAATTTCAGTTTTCTTTATCCTTCTTTTTTTGGTTAATTGTTGCTAATTCACGACATGGCACTGGCACTCCATTTCTCCAGCATTTGCTGAATGAAAAAGAAAGAATTGCCTTGTCCATTTTGATAAGACAGGTACAGCAGCTGAAGTAATTAAAAGCTGAAACTTCTCCAACCAAATCCATCGCATGTGAAAAAAAATTTTAAAAAGTCATTTAGAGATCAGACAACCTTATAAAAGTTCTTAAAAGTAGACTACTGCTAAAGTTAATATAGCGTCAAGGTTCCAAGCTTTTGTCAAGCTTTTCATTTTGTTCATTAGACCTATTTATTCAGCAGTAAGAGGAAAACTGATGGTGTGGCTTTCAGTTCTCTGGTGCTCTTTAAGTGCTTTATAATCATTCCCAGGCTGGAAAACAGGTGAAGAGAGAGCCAAGAGCCTGCTTCCAGGTATGTTTTGCTAAACATCAGAATCCTTATCGGTCTCGCTCCCTTCCGAACGCTTTAGCCATACCAGGCAACGGCACTGCTGACAGCTGTAGGTCCAGTTGTCCCCACTGCGGTAGAGCTTGTGCCCAGTTTGGTCGAGGCACTGGCTGGTGACACGGGTGTCACACTCCGGGCAGCAGAAGAGATCAGCGCTGGGGTTCTTGCAGTCGCAGGCTGTCCTCCGGCAGAAAATCCTCCCGTCCTGCGAGGACACATTGCCCTGACGTCAACCACAAACTGCCAGACAGCAACCCAGATAAGGTCACGGGATATGTGTGTGTGTGTGTATATATATATATATATATATATATACACACACACGCATATCTCAAAGGGCACATCTCTGGCATATCATGAAATACTAAGTTCTTAATGTATTCGAAGTTACCGCCGACAAGGACTGGACCCTGCCAGTTGCAAGGAATACCTCAAACACCAGTACTGTCCCAGTTTCTACCATTGCATGGATCCAATACTGCCTGAATCTGAGAATACTGTTTTCCTGTCTCCAGCTAATTGAATTTAAAAGAAATCAGTATCTCAGAAGAAATATAGTGAAGCAATTTCATATCTCATTGGTTACATCAACGAACTCTTCAAGCAGTTGCCACTCTAATACATATAATATTTGTTTAGCGCTATTTTGACTGAATGTATCACTGTGAAGAAAATAACTTGAATAAATTGAAGTTATGAAGGTGGTCCCTTTAACTTCATAGGAGCACAATATAGCAAAATCACAGTAGCACTAATCATTCTTCAGTCTGAATTCACCACTGGTTCTGTTACAGCTGGACCTACACTATACCAGCTTAAAGCTAAATGGACTTACCATCATCCATTATAATTTATTTCATGTATTAAAGAGGGCCTGTATTCCACAGGCTCTCCAAAATATGATTTTGCTAAATATTTGCTTACAGTATTGGATGGCCCATTTTGTTTAAGACCATTAAACAGAACTGTTTGAGATAAACAGAAGAATTGCTTCTGCATGTAAAGAGAAACAGATATATTCTCTTTGCATCACAGAAAAACAAATTGATTCTAATTCTAGTTACAAAAATTGGATGGACTATCGTGTTTGAAGTTACATCCGTTGCTGTAGGTGAGCCAACATACTGGCATGCCACACGTAGACTGGGAACTGAAATCACAGTTAACAATGAGGAGATCATTGAGCAGTTTTGAAATGAACTTCTTTTGCATTCAGCGCTAGTTATTGGACTAGTCCTTACTCAAGCAAAGCATCCCCTGCAGCCAGTCTGAAGGTAGAGCTGCGAGAGGAACGAAGCTATATTCTGCTTTGGATCACAACTGTACAGTTCCTAAAACAACTCCACTCACTTCATTGCAGGATTTCCATATTCTCATCAGAACCTTGTTCGGAGTCTATAAAACTGCATCTGATGCAAGAAGGAAAAAAAGTTTTCCACTGCCACCAGATAAAGGGGTACCTATCAAAGCAAGGGAATTTATTTCCTCTGATCCTTTAAGAAAGTGATTACTAAAAAGAGTGACAGCAGCCCAGGATGTCTTTTCCACAGGCAGACAAAAGAGCCAATAACCACAGCACGTAGTTGGTTTTTTTATGTTTTGATGTAGGAATCTGTTCGGCTCTTGTTTTTAAGCAAAGCCAGTCTTGGCCACAACGCAACACGTACCAAATCAGCATCGGGGAATCACAACACCCATGTCAGTCAGCGTCACTGCCGCATTTCATCATAGTTTTGAATTGATTGCAATATTACTTTCTGTTGTAAGAATAATTAAAATGATTTCTTAAGCCTAACAAGAAAGCTGAAGAGAACACAGAATTAGGGAAATGTAGAAAAGATGCTAGGTTAACATGGATCTGAACTGCTTTTGCCAACCACAGGGCACAGGACTCGATTGCCGTACGGTCTTTATTCAGTTTTGTATCAGATTAAGACAACTAAGGATTCCGTACTTGTGGCTACTTTGCTGCTTTAGCTGTAGGAGAAGATATAAACAAGCTCTATTTCCTGACTCAGCAGTTTGAGTAAATCATAAGGTAAGGAAGACTGACAGTGGCCCGTCTCCTTAGCCACAGGTCTGGCCAGGTCCAGGTGCAATACTGGGAATAAACCTTTTCCACAAAACCCACAGACAGCCGTCATCTTCCCCTTTCAGCAAGCGGTGAAAGAAGAGAGCCGAAAGCCTTCCCCGACAGAGAGTTACGACTAAATCTCCATTCTTGCAGGTGGGAAAGCACAACCACCTCCCACCCCTTGCTGAGGGCGGACATCGAACGGCAGCTGGGCGCAAAATCTCTGCCAGGCTGACCGGCTCCAGGCACGCGGGGTTATGCCAGGCGTCCAGGCAACCCAACGCCCTCGGCAATAGCAGCCTCTCTCCTCTCCGTAATGGAGCGGTGATTAATAACGGCTAACAATAACCTGTCTGCTTAGTTCCAGTTCAGTTTCCAAGCTTTCAAGATTAGTTTGCAAATTCTTCTGTCAGCTGGTGACAGTGCTGGTAGTTCTGTGCTTCTCTGAGCTCCCGTGCTGGTACCTCTGGGGAGCAGCTAACCTTTTACGTTGCCTTTACTCTCTGTATTTCAGAACACTGACAAAGCCTGACGATTTTGCCAGAGACCTTTTGGTAATCATAATACACTGCTACTCTCTTTATTCTTTAAGCATCTGTGTTTTATCTCTGACCTCATTAGCTCCATGCCTTTCAAAAAACATTTTTATCCCCATACGTCAGTGCCACAAAGCCTCTTAAGCTACGACATCTCACTTGCATCTTTGCAGCTCTATAGTAGCATTGAGAAATATAGAAAAGCTTGAGAAATATATAAAAAGCAACTTACTTTCTTTTGGTGGGTAATAACATATAGCATCTTATTAGTAACTCTCCCTCCCCACTGTCCTCACTGAATCAGTTCTACGTGCTTCATAAGCATCAGTGATATGAACACAAAACTGTTCTTACCAAAAGGAAAACTGGCATACAAGGGAATCGCTGTAAAGGGTAACTCAAGTTTCCACAGAGCCCCAAAGCCAATTTGGACAGAAATGAGACCCTGCAGAGACCAAACCACCAAACCATCCTCGCCCTCAGGAACACACTTCACCTTGGCACATCCACTCCCCGCCCCGTTCCCAATTCTGTGCTTATCCCCCAGGCTTTTTTCATCCAGGGAATGGAGGGTTCTCTTAATCGGAGGACAGACTGGAAAGCCCAGATGTAGCCAGGCTTATTTTTTTCATGGGAGAGAGCCACAGCTCCCCACTCCCCTTCAAATTCTACCAGTCTTAAATTTGATTGTGTATTAAATCCACAAGAGTTCAGGCAGATTCCTGTAGAAGACACATCAAATATACTTAAGGTACTATATTAATTTATAGTTTTGAGAAGTTATGGGTTTGTAAACTTTATACCCATTCAGATGAATGAGGATGGTTTGAAGAGACTGGGTCTGATGAAACACGGAAATAATCCCCTGTGTTTCAATAATGACACTTTGCTTCATTATATAACTGAAGTAATATAATGTCTCATATTCCATAGTATCCTACTGAACAAATAACCTTACTTAATGAACTTCAAAGTTAAGTAAGGTATTTAATTCCCTTTGCAGCAGATTTTAAGTTAAAATATTTTCAAGACGGGATCGATGTGTTTCAGCCAATGCACCAAATATATCCATCTGACCTTTCCTAAAATAACCGTAACAAAAGAAAAGCCAAAAGAAAACACATTTTTTAAAAATCTGAAATACTGATTCGTCTCCTAGATAAGACAAGTGAGTAGGATCACTTCAAAGTTCAAGTTAGAAGTATAAGGAATGATTTAGTTACACTCTGCCCTTTTCCTCACTGAAAACTGGGCAGGCTGCAAAAAGGTCAGGCAGGGCCAGCTCCCCGTGCAACTGCATGAAAAGGATGGAGTCCTGCAGCAGGTCTGAGAAGTAGTCCGGTGCATTGGAAGGTATCGCAATTTATAAAAATATGTTTCAATAACATATTTCAATAAACACTGAGTGAAGACTTTATGTACTGCCCGGGATATGATAGAGGAGGAGCTCGCTCTGTTTTCTCTGTTCTACAGAGAAGAATTTGGCTCTTGAAACAGGCAGCTACTGGAATGAAATTAAATGCAAATGTTAATTCACAGAGGAAAAAAATGGAAAGCGAGGAAGATATAAAGGAAGAGTCATAGCAACAAACAGTGCCAGGCTTAGTTTAAAATAGCTATGTACTAGTTAATCATTTTATATATTTTCATATTCTAATAAGAGCATTCAACATAAGAAATAAGTGCAATGAGAAATGGCAAATAAAACAAATTACAAGCAATCTAAGATGGGAATACTAATAGTTATAATTCTGCAAAGGCAGACCAGATGTCTTCACATATATTAAACTGTTTATTCTATTGACTGGAAATCCTTTCATAAACCAGCCAATTCCCCAAGATTACAATAAAAGCTTGATATATATTCAGTGGAGTTGTACACTTCAGCTTCTGAAGGGAGGAGTTTTAGGGAGCTTGAGGCTACTTGAAGTAAAAAATATAGCAACTAACAAGAACGTATTCCCTTTTGAGCCCAAAACAGCAGTGTACTTTGCGGGTTCTATTCACTCTAAAGTCTTAATTTTCCCTTCTGCTATACTATTGCAATACAGAAACGATAAGGCTTTCAGCTTCTCGCAACTTCAAAACAACTCTTCGCCCTTGTCCCCCTCAAACCCTCTAAAGCTTCTCTGGCTCACGAGCATTGAGACACGGGGATTGATAGGCCAATTCTCATGCTCTGTGTTCAGCTTTTCACGGTGGCCAAAAACTCCTTTTACTTACACTTATGCAAGGGCCAGTAGTGTTCTGCTGCGTCTAAGGACACCTTTACCAGTGCTATGAACTCATCAGGTCAAAGTGGCCATAAAAGATCAACCATTTCTCAAATTGGTGCATTCCTGAAATTCTTCTAATTTCAATGACAGCATTCCTCTTTTTACTAGTGAAAATAGAGAAAGCAGAGTCAAACGTTCTTTTAACTTGGCTACCATCCTCAAAAGAACTGATAATTTCCAGGGGGGGAGATAAAACCCCAAAACAGATCTGTTAACTCTAAGGTAGATCTACTTCTACTACGCCTGGCTTCTCCAAAGGTGCAGAGAGAGCTGCACTGCTCAAGTGGCAGAGCTGCTAATACAGCCAAGCTGGGATGAAGAGGAGGAGAAAGCTGGCCTTCACCCTTCCCCACATGAGGAAATTAAGTGTCTGCTTCTAGGTCCTCTAACCTTTGACTCGTGCTCAGGCAGTTAATTCACATGTATTCCAAGTAAAGGGAAATGCCACCAACAGGAAGACGGCTGACTACAGTACTTGTCCCGAGAGATGCATATTCATGTGCAAGAGAAATTCAAAACAGTTTTCAACATTCCCAGTAAGCGTGCTGATCTCCTGCACGTTGTGTTAATGGGCAATGCAAGACCCTTGGTCAAGGCGTGCTCCGAGTGGCTCTGGCCCACAGGGTGACACGGTAGAAACTCAGCGGGGTTAGCCGTTGTTCAGCCGTGTCTGTGGTCATGCAAAATAAGAATAAAGATGACTTCCCAGAAGAATTTCCCCATCACAGCTTCAGTGGCCACAGCAGAGCTTACCTTTTGCCTCAGCGCCTCGGGCTTAGGCTAGTATTATTGCCAACACCAGTGACACTGCAATAGTGGGTTTCTGACATGAGCCCAGAGAATTAAAGGACTCCTGAAACCCAGACCAGCTGGATCTCACCTTGCAGGAACAAACGGAGCATCTGTCCTCCCTCAGGGTCCACACCTGCCCGTTCCGCTTCAAGCCGCCTTCATGGGGACAGTCTCCGGTGCAAGATGGTCCGGATGGACAAAGGCAATCAAACCCTCCTGCCAGGTTCACACAGGCTGAATCGTTCCAACAGGTGTGGGTCTTTAAGGCACACTCATCGATATCTGCAAAACAGCAGATTTATAATGCTTCGGATACATTTTGTCACGGGGCAAATTTTATTTCTGTATTAAGTAATTATTGCTCATCTACCTTGCTGGTGGAAGAGGGTGCCTCCTTTCTGATATCTTCCATATTTACTTGCTAGACATTAAACACTGATTATTTGTTTAGGTTATTCTTCAGTGTTTGTTTGATTCTACCAAGAATTCTTAAACTACCTCCAGCAGGCTTAATTGTAAATGCTGAGGCTGACATACTTAGTGGAACTGAATATCAATGATGAACTTGAACCTTCAGACAAGGGTGTATAGTGATTTCCCAGTGACTGGAAACTAGCAAACAATCAGAGTGACTTTCTGTCAATTTGACCACTCTTTGTTCTGGATTTTACACCAAAATAGAACTGCACTTCTCTTTGTAAGTTCCTAGCACGATCAGCATTTCCCATACTAAAAGCAATCAATTGCACCCTTTTCCCAGTGCTGGAAGGTGTAAGTGAATAGAAAAAAAACAAAACAAAACAAAGAAAAAAATAAATAAAAAAAAAAGAAAAGGAAATAAAGAAATCAGAGGGCACCTTAGACAGGAAAAAAGTCTTAGAACAAAGCTATGCAAGAAAAGTATGATTTTGCAATGACACAAAAAGTAAGTAACAAAAGAAAATCATTATACACTAGAGAAAAGTGAATTACAGTACCTCATTAAAATTGCTTTTGGAGGGTAAAATATAATTACGCAATATGAATTTATCTAGGGAGTTAATGCACCATTCTTTTTCTTGCAGCGAAAGGCACGAGATTTTTAATCACATGGTTTACAAAGGGTATTTCTTTCAGAAAATAACTTTGGACTGCTCTTAAACAATATATTGACAGATTGTCCAGATAAAATACCAGTAAGTTGGTGGGTTTCTTTTGTTCCAACGTGAACAATGAAAACAGTAAGCAACAGTGGGAGGAAGGCTGAAGAAGAAAATCCTTTAGAAGTATGTGATGGTTTCTATCATGAAAATTCCAGAAAACTATTATATGAATTTGGAAATTACAAGGAAGAGCCCTCACACTTGCCATTTAAAATTACCTTAGTGCTAGCGTGAAATTTCTTACAGTCCAATATTACCCGAGTACTTTTAATTCCTCTCTAAAACAACAAATTTAAAAATTCAATAGAATTTAAAAAAAAACACAACAAACCCAAACCAAACCTAAAGTCTAATCCTGTGGGATGTGATGGCCAGTTGCCCTACTTTTTGGACAAGTGCCATGGGTTCACGAGTCATCTCCTCAGAAAGCCAGATCTTAAAAAGACGTTAACAATTCTCTCAGTCTGCTGAAGGAAACTCTCGATAACAATCAAATCACTAACTCCCTCTGACCTGGTTAGTAAAATTCCTGATTTCAAGTCATAAATAGCCCAGGAACAAGTGGAAACGTGGTAGTGCCCTTGGATTTGACCAAATGAAAAATAGACCAGCACAACCGAGTCAGGGGCCTGGGCCGCCAGAAAACGGCTTGCTCCTCTTTTCTGCTTCTAGACCCAAAGGGAAGCTGGAGGCAATTACCCTGCAGAAGGACTTCACTCCTGGGCTAACCTATGGCGCAGTCCTTTGTCAGAGATGTTCCCAGTGACCCGATAGCACAATTCAGTTGCTTGTCGCTCAGACTTCCCTAAAAATGGTGTATTTTGCTGCCCTGACAGTCTTAATCGCCAAAAAGTAACATTATTGCTCTAATGCATAGCCTAGCAATGAGTACTTGAAAGGTCCGCTCTCAGTGGTCTAAAAGGCGCTACACTAAGAGAAATTAAAACCTGTAGTTCATTGTTTAACGAGTGCCAGAGTATCACAGGTGGTAAAAAATATGAAAAGTGACATGAAGAGAACTATGAATGAACTGGTATGAAATAAATCATACCCAAAAAGCTACTGTAAGACCTAAAATATTCTTAAAAATATCCCATTTTCCTTTCAATAGATTTTGACTTGTATTTGATGTTGGAAGACAAAGGTATAAATGAAGCGTTCGCTTTGTCTTTGGTGATTTCACCCAGCATTGTCAATATTCTCTTCCCCACCATATTAAGCGCTCCTTGAATAGCGCATATATATAGGATGTAGCAGGATCACAGGGCAGATTAGAAGGGTAGCTTTCACAGTTCAAAACTAAAAGGATTTCACAGATGAATATAAAGCCATATTGCCTACAGAGTTCCATGTAATTGCTTTACTTATGACACAGAAATCTAATTCTGTTTCCATGTAATTTAACAGATTTATAGAAAGCCAGATGTTAGCAATTATAGAAACTAACATTATTCATATTCTTAGTAGTACAGACCTGTTCACACCGCACAAAGCCAGCTTAATCTGTTACACATATCCAAAAGGGAAGAACACGCTATTTACATACTGCTACTGCCGTTCTCTGCTTAGCACACGTAAAAAGGATGCCCCCATTAAGAGTGGCCCAAACCAGTAAATGGGACATTCTTGACAAAGAAGCCAATCAAGCAAAGCTGAGTAACATAGCGTGAACATAAATTCCTAATTGCTACTCAGTTTGCTCTTTTTTTTTTTTTGTTCTTTATTCAAATGATGGTTTCTTACTATTTTATGGCATTTATTATTTAAAATTTTTAGTCATTAATCAAATATAAAAGGCTTGGACACTGCACTCATTTCCAGCTGAACTTTTAATAGAGCTAATTTTCTGAGAACATCCCTTTGGCAGTTTTTTCTTGGCACTGATTGCATTTCTAAAAGTCAGAACAAACAGCCAATGTTCCCAATAATTTGAGGAAAAGTTAGCAGCATAATGCGTTTTTCTCCCTTTCACTCTTTCAGCCTCAAACCAGATTGGGGGGGGGGGGGAACCCTGACAAATGCTCCCATATTCTTAGCCCCCAGTTAACTTCAGAAAATATTTCAGTTTAATGGAGATCAAATGAACTTGCTCATATTGGCATGAGATCAGCGTGAAGATAGCTATGCAAAACATGGAAGAAAATACTCCTGTTTAGTGTGAAATTTCTCTTAAGAACTGGAAACAATGTGTCTACTTAGGTTTTGAAAAATTAGCCTAGTTTAACATTCTGAACATGTCCAAAACAATCTTCTAATGAATATGAAAATTGTATGATAAGACTCTCGCGTATAGATTATTTCTATATTATTCAAATCCTTGCTCAGCTCAAATTCCCCACACTCCCATTAGGTTTCGTTTGCTTTTCCACAACTGCTCTCAGAAGATGCGGGCCCCAAACTAGAATGTTTAATGACAGGCAAAGCAAAACTGTACACAAATCTTATTTCCCATTATAACACCACCACTAGGTAGGAAGAAGATGAAATATTCATTTATAGATCAAGGAACTTGTAAGAACAATGGACAAGTACATATGTGAAATAGCAAGGAGACTCCATAGTCTTTCCCTATATATAACACAAGATGTCTGTCCTGACTTTTGGGGGGGGATTAGTTCTTTCATGTATCCTGTCAACCTGTGAAAGCAATCTCATTTTCATGCCTGGAATAAGACTTTGCAGTCTTATTCATTATATTGAGATAATCTGTGGCAGACTACTAATTAACCCAAGCGAAAGTGGCAGAGCTTTACTTCCCCCCTCCAAACAGTTCCTCTTCAAGGAAAAGTGAGGATATAGTGGAAGTGACCATAATTAGAAACTTGCTTGTAATGCTAGCCTTATGCTATTTTCTATCAACAACGTGTAGCCAACAGCAAAGCGATTGTTGCCAAGACATGCCACTCAAACATTGCACAGGACTATCATAAAACCGATCAAGATCTTCACTCTTCAAACACTCCCAATCTCTGCTTCTTTAGACAAATGTACCTGATCATACGTATTTTAGCCGCAATGCAACCAGTCACATTTTGTGGATGGGAAAATAAAGAAAACAAACCACCCAAGATGTGCTGATTTCCCAATATACTATGGAAGTACATAAAGATACCTTGGTAACGCGGGCAGACAAGAAATCAGAATCAAAATGGAACAGAATAATCCCCTGAGATGCAATTTCCTTTTCCATCCTTTTTGGTTGTAACGAGAAGTAATTTGCCTCAGATATTATGAGAGGTCCCATGGCCACTGTATTTGAATGGCGTAGAAGACAAGCATGACTGTACATATCAACACAAGTTCATTAACTTGGTTTCACTGAAATTTTAAACCAATCCCTAGCTACTTCATTTCTTAGTTTTCAAGGCTATTCAGGTTTTAATGGTATGACTTTTCTATAGCACCTTAATAAATGTGTGCAAGCAAGTCATGCAGCGTGGTGCTCTGTAATATCATGATAAGCTGTTGCAGAAGAAAGAACCCTACTAATGTGCTAATTTTAACTGTTATGGTACATTAAACCATTACAGTATAATGTTAACGTGAAAAATGTATGCTGGGCTCCCAAACCAATGTATGTACAAGTTAACTAAACACTGTTTTGACATATCATTTTTCACAGGCAACTTGTCACTTAATGTATTTGCCTTCTTTCTAAACCAAAGTGATTTGGACTCATCTTTGAAAAAAAAAAAAAAAAATCACTAAACAGATTTATTTTTAGTTAGAAAATATTTTATGATAGCACTTTTATTCTATAGAGACATAATGGTCTATTAAATAGAACATTGCATAGTAAATTAGATTCTGAATATAGGATTTACTAATGCTTTCCAGAAATATAGAAATGACTAAACACAATTATCTTGAAGACGTGTAATGCAACTTTCTCTCAGAATACAAGAATCAGAATTTACTAAATGGAAAGTAAGCAAGATAATTTTTATTTTACAGGATAAAATCCACAGACACAGACTCTGCTAGGATGAGCTTTAAGAAATTCTATGAGCAGAATAGAAGAAACTCGTAAACCAGCAGGTTCTAGAGTTGGTCCTGGATACTCCGTACCATACGCAAACCTTTCTCTCTACGTACCACTTCTCTAACAACAGATAGAAAAACAATTCCCAGGCATATAGGAAGCTTTTCAAAGGATGGGTTTAGTTTTTTGTTTGACACAGAAAGGGGGCAAAATAATTAAAGAACAAACCCCCTTTTCTCTTGCTTTCTGATCTAGGTAACAGACAACACTGCAGCGTGCTACAGAGCATACGAAAGCTTCAGGAATTGAATTTAAACCCATTCAGGCTTGACCCTCGAGCACTGCCGCACCCAACTTTTGTGGGAGACTAGCACATGCTGCCGAGTCCTACCTTTTCCAGCTTTCATTTCCCCACAACAGCTACTCTAACCCTGCAAGGAGATCTAGCTACGCAACCTTTCATGACAAAATACATGGTGAATCCTGTGGGGTTTTGGTGGGAGGAGGATCTGTGTTAAGCTTCCCTACAAAATTTGCACCAATTCTTAAAGAAAAGAAAAAAATAACCAGCAACTGACAGGGACTGCTGCCTTGATTGTTTTTCCTTCTGTGCTTGCGAGTCACAACATACAGACTCAGAAACACGAAACACCATGAAAAAAATGGAATCAGGAATTCTGGACTCCGGGGTCTGAACAGCTTTCTACAGACTTGAAGCATCTCGCTTAAAGAAAGATAGAGATTAAAAAGTATAATTCCATTTGCTTTTATTTTTCTGCTGCAGATAGGAGTAACCTTTGTGGGACATTAACTTCCCAGAATACAGCATTTCTTTGCCTGTTTTTCCCTTCTTTGGTTCTGATAATCTTAAAGGTTATCACTGAAGATTCAGTGGTGAGGGTTTATTCAATGATTACCTTTTGAATTAGCAGTATTTGGCAACAGGTACTTAGTGCAGAGAAAAGAAAAAAATGTATGCCAGTTGCTTCAATATGGTCTCAGTAGATAGAAGTCAACACTGGGATATGTATCGTTTGACAGCTCACAGTTCCCTATAAAATATTTTTGTTTGTTTACCTTAAAGTGTAGCAAAGCTCCTATCAAAAAAACAAAAACAACCCAGCAACTATACAGCCTACGTGTTTTAATTGCAAAGCAAACTCTGGTAGCAACTTAGTATAGCAATTGTCTTTTGTCTGCAAGCAGTATTCTTAATAACATATTGTGAAAGGGCAGTGCCTCATAAAAACGCTACCGCTGGAAATGAAATTACATTCTCTTAATTTGAGCCTGCTCACCATCACCTTATGAAGCTGACATCTTTTATAAAAGCATGGCCATGGAAATATATTCCCTTTTCAAAGCTGCCTTCGGTTGGTATTTTGAGCAATAAAAGAATTTTCCCAAGCTCAAGGTGGCCTGGCTAAGTCATACGTCCTTATTACCGAAGCTCTGGAGCAATATTACGACCTTCCCTGCCACATCCATTGATTTACACATTCGTCCCTTGCCAGGTGACAAACTCCACTGTTTTCTCCTAGTCAATGAGAATAAAGCTTTTAGAAGCACTGTGGTATCACACCACTTCCCAATTAGATGTTATTTTTTAAAATGTTCTGCAAGCACTGCAGACACACTGCAAGCAATGACTCGGCTCCAACATATACATGACCCCCTACGTATAAATGGAGGGAAAGGGGGTTAACCAATAGATACACAAATGCATCCAGCAAAAGCAACCAGCTGTCTGGGCTTTGGGCAATCTGTCAGAGCTCAGTGCTCCCTCCCACTGCCTTATGATTTTCGTTTGTTGTTGTTGTTATTATTATCATTATTCTTACTTTGTGGGGGAGGGCTTAATCTTTTTCAACTTACGTTCTTAGGCTATTTATTGTTCTCCAAGTTTTGTTCTTCAGGGATGAAGAAGAAACGTTTCAAAACGTACTGAAAGGCAATGGCCCAAATCCACCTCAGGTACACAGGAGGATTTCAGAACACAGTCTGTAAAATATGCCAGGGCACAATGCTGTTGCTAAGCAGATGAACCCTCTTTTATCTGAAATAGAGTGAATAACTCTGGCCCTGACTCTGAATAGTCCTCCACCATGCAAACAAGCTCTGTAACGTGATGAAAGTTAGCGTTCAAGAAACCTAGTTTTAGCTAGAATGTGTAGTGTTATCTATCTGTCATTTTAATCAAGTCTTACTTGCACTTTAAAATAAACATCAGGGTTTGAAATTTCTTTGTCAATATGGGTTAGCAGAATCTTTCAATTATTTTTTTAATTGGTTAACCGGTATAATGAAATAAACTGGTTTATCCTCTTCCTCACTGGTACCCTGCAGCAGATGGCTCAGAAAAGCTATTCAGTTAAAATAACCCCGCTAATTTCACATTCTGTTTACAACTTGCATATGGCAAGACGAGCACCTCACCTTCCGAACTTCCAGCATGCTGCGCAGGTCAAAACGAGGGCAGTTTGTTTTCAAGAAAACTCATTCCTTCACTCTCCGCAGAATACAGAGCATTTGGGGCTCCTTTTTGCTGGGAAGTAGCCAAGTGCCCTTCCCTTTAATAGCGATGTAATGCAAGCAATACTGACCTTTTCAGCAAGCGAGCCTAGCTATGGACCGTTCAAAACCACGGTCTTGCCTATGCGTCTGTCTTTTTCTGAGACCACCCTGAGCTTTACATCTTCTTTGTCCCAAACCAACCTGACAAGGAATGGGGTTCCCCATCCACGCGGTACAGGCAGGCACCAGCAACGCTACAAATGTCCCTTATTCCCCAACTGCCTCAGGGCTTTTTGAAGGTTATGTCCTGTTGCTTTGACTTCTCTTAAAGCAAGTATTCTGAACATTGCTCTGTCCATCACTCCTTTTATAGCATTTAAATAAACCAGAGGAGAACTCTTAACATTTGAGAATCTGTTTAGAAATACATGACTTTCATGTGGTATTTTACCTATTAAGTCACAAAATACTGTAAAGTCGGCCATTTTTTACACAGCCACCCCAATGAAGCTCACTGCTGTGATTTTATTGAGCTCCCCACCAGCTTAGGACAATGTGTAAAAAGCTAATATAGCTGGACAATCTACAAAATATTGGTTTTGAAAATAATTATTGTTCCTCTGCATTTTTAAATCACCATGCTATCTTATCCCAAGAACTTCTAATAGGCAAAATTTGTAAAAGATGGGAATGTTTGTTACGAGTTACAATTAAATTTATGCATTTTTATTACAAATTTTTATTTTAACTCTTACTTTAATTGTACACTTTAACACTTAGAAAGAGCCCTTCGCACCTATGGACATGATAAATGAAATTTACCTTGTTAAAAAAAAAAAAAAAAAAGTCTTACACAGAAGCAGCAGAAAAGCTTTTATAGAAAATGCATAGAACTGAGTAGAGATGAAGAAACTGAAACTCCAAAGAAAGAACATAGAACTATGAGAAGCTGATCTGTATCTCTACAGAAGTTAAAATGGGATCCTTTCTAAACAGTTTTGAAATCATCTGATAAAATACCATATGGAAATTATGTATAAGGCTACTGAGAGTAAGTAAAAAGGTGGAAAAATTGTAAGTCAGGGGTAAGCCACAGTCTTTACTGTGATTTTATTCCTGCTTACTTGCTGTAGTGGCACACAAAGTCTTACAGACAGTTAAGGGCATCCAGACTGCAAGAACCAGCACTAACTCCTCATGGGGCCTCATCCTTTATCCTCCCGTAGAAACAACCAACAAACTCCTCCACACCCCTTAAAAATTCCTCTCCGTTTATGCTCTTAAGGCCTTATTCTGCAAATATGGCGCATAAAGAGCTTGATGCTATTTGCATAATTCTAAAAATAAAACAATGACGATGGCAAACAATGGAAAACAAACAAATCAGAGCAACACAGACGTACCCCAAACGTGTTCTCATATCGCTCTGCTAAAATTTGAAAATGGAAAACCAGCTCTTCCCCTTTTGTGGCCTATTACGCTCCCCAGAAAGCCTACTTTAACTTCAGGTTTTACAGCAACTTATTATGATAAATGGCAAAGCGCAGCTAGTCACACTTTGGATCTCTGACAGCCTCCCTCCTGTAATAACCGTTCAAAAACGTGATGCGTCTTGAACTGGTACCCACACTGCGTGGCTGGGGATGCTGACAAACACAGACACGCTCGCTCGCGTTCTCATTTTCGCCTTAAACACAGTTACTGCTCAGGACAGCGTCTCAACAGTCACTTTGTAACACCATGCAGAAGGAGGAAAAAAAAAAAAAAAAGCACTATGCTGATCATTGCTTACCAACACAGGACTCCCCGGAAAGAGAATAGCTTCCATTGTCATGGAAACCGCTTCTGCACTCACAGTGGTACCACCCTGGGAGGTTAACACAGCGTGAATGGTTGTGACACTCAATGATCCCCTCTGCACACTCATCAATATCTGCCTCAGAGAAAAACACAAGCCAGCCAGGAAATTAATTTCCTTTGACACCAATGCTTTAGGTTTGTTGTTGTTTTTTTGTGGTTTTTTTTTTGTTGGGTTTTTTTTTTTTAAAGTCATCTTTTAATAGATGGATCAAAGTTTATTATGGTTCCAAACAACAGACACTTAAACATGACTCACATAACAATAAAAAAGAACAATAATACATCACGGAATTTGATATATACAAGACATTTGTTTACACCATGATTTGTTTAAAATGCAAAGCAAACATGCAGATATTTTTGTTCTTTGTTTTGTTTTTTTTTTTTTTTAACTCGGAAATCACATTTGTCTGTGCATATAAAGCACTGCAGAGCAGGTTCTCCACTGAAAAGGCAGTTGCAGCGGTATTCCTGCTTTACAAACTGCACGACCCAGGACACCTTGGAAAGAGCAAGCATTTTCTTCAGGATTTGTGTTGCTAGTGCTCACTTGTGATATCGGCAGCTATCTGTCACTTAAGGTGCTCAGAGCACTTTGCAAACAATAGTTAATCTCTTTTGTTTATACGATCAAAATAAATACCTAGCACACGTATAACAGCATGTGACAAACAGAAAAAACAGTCCGCGTTTCAGCTGCAATAAAACATTTAACTGGAAAAGAGTGAGGCAAATGACAGCAAGTCTGCAGCAATGGAAAGGTACAGCAAGATGAATACGCTGCTAAGTTTCAATAAATGTGCTGCTTTTATAAAGGAGTTCTTAAAATTTCTGTAACATGGTTAATAGAGACCTCATAATTGCTAGTAACCTTGGTTAATCACGTCTGGCACCTGGCTGCTTCTCCCCTTTGAGCATTTTTCAGCACATTTTGTAGGGTTGTAATTAAAATTAGCAAATTAATTATATGTTAACCTTGCGGTAATTTAAGAAGCTATTATATTTTCATTCCTCTATTTAGCTCAAGCTATTTTTTTAAATTTTTTTTTCAATCTTGGACAGTTTTCAGCTGGGTACCTTATCAATTAAAATGAATCTCAAATTATTCACAAATATCAGCCGTTTTCACCCATCGAGATTTTTTTCTTGGCAATCGGCACATTTAAAATATGCATAAAATTGTGTACACCAAACAAAAATTTGGGGAAAATAGGTTCCGCAGCTGCATTTAGTTCGGCAAGCATCAAAATACAAATGTCTCATGATCCTGATGCAAGACAGAGTTAAGGTTATTAAGTAACCAGGGAGTGTAGCTTTTATCTCAATTTACAAAATACATACACCAATATGGTTTCATGGACTGCACTGGAGTCGTGTTGATGTACGTTGAAATTGATATGAATTAAGCATCCTTCAATACAATTCCATTGTCTTACATCTTACAAGCAATACCATAGAAAAGTTCAATTTTTCCTCATTTAAGTAATAATATATATGCCTGTTGAAATATGTCTGAGAAACCTAAACAAATGCCTTTTCCAGTTTTGTGTTCGCCCTCACTCAAGAACGAAACAAGTTATCTACATAACAGGGTTATAACCGCTCTTTATTTCCAGCTTTATTCAGCTTCCATCTAACAATAAAGCAAATTTTTTTATGCCTCAAAATCTGTCACTACTGCCACCTTTTCTGCACTTTTTATTTTGTAGAAGCTAATTTTCGCGTTAAAACACTGCACAAATCTAGCTGTCCATCAACGATGAGTGCTGCTTGCAAACTCAGACACTTTCAATTCATTACAGCAAATGGAATTTAAAACCATGATCTTTTCACATGTCATGGCTAATAGAACAAGTTTAATCCTATTTGGAAAGTGAATGACTTTGCTATTGCAGGTCAACTGCAAATGAATCCTTCATCTTGCCTTCTTTTCTTCCCCAGTGTTGAATCAGAGAATGTTCCTGCTTAAAGATTGCTTCCTTGGGTCAGTCCTGTACTGGACCTCTATCCATTCAATTTTACATTTTTAATTTACAAAATCAATAGAGTTTTCCTAAAGTTCATTTCTAAACTTGAGCCCTTTTGAAAGTGTACTTGATTTAGGCTCATGGTGGAGGATACTAATTGGCTGGTAGATTACTTTTCAGAAAGCCTGTCTGCCAGCGTACCAAAACTAAGCAGCAGTTTACTGAATGGAAGAAGAAGAGTGTACGAGTCTCTGTAGATTATGGCAGAAAACTATAATAATACATAGATCTACTTCAATACTAGATGACTTTCTTATGGCAGTGCCATACCTGTCTATAGCTTTTGTCCACTGATTTTTAGGGAGACACAAACCAGTTTCTTAAACCAGAGCTAGGCAAAAAGGAATCGCTTTCAGTTGTATAGGTTCTTCTTTACTTCCTCGATCTCCTTAAACCGGTGGAGTTACACCGGCACTGCCCGACCCGTGCCAGGGGCAGAGGGCAAGGGAAGAGGAGGTGCTGTGCTGGCTGCTTTGGGAAAATCTGCCACTGAAGGCACCAGTGATGCAGAAGCAACTACTAAAAAAAGAAAAATCCTTCAAGTTCCGCTCCCTACCGCTACCTCTCCTCTCCCAGAGCCAGTTCTCTCGCGTGCACGTGTATGTGTCCCTTCCCCTGCTTCTGCAGTGAGTTAGTGTTCCTTTGGCAACGTGTCATTAAATACAATATACGTGAAGAGCGGTATAAACAGGGAAAACCATTAGCGGCTTCTCCATTTGTCTAATACATTGTCGTTTCTTATTCCCATGCTTAAAATGAGGTACATAAAGATTAAAAGGGGAGACAATATTATCATTAAGTCTGTAAGCTTCTCCTGTGATCCTGTGCATTATTTGTAGCATATGTATAAACATATCTCTGCAGGTATAGGAAAATATTATGGATTTATTTTAGAAATTTAGAATGATTTAACATGCTTGTAATACCAAGAGGGAACTGCAAATAACAGCTTTATAAAATAGTGTGTCATACACCATGACATTATTTAGTTCACTTAACAGATCATTTCCATCTGGACACACTATGGCTTCTGAAAACACTTTTTTGAGGATTTTTTCTGCATAGGAAGATGTTGCTATACATAACGGTCAGTTCAGGGAATTAGAATCAATTCACCTTTCTTCATCTTTGCCTTTTCCATCTTTAGATCCTAGCACTATATTTGCATACTTACCTCAGGTTGACTATCTTTCTATTGAAGGCTGGTTTGGAGTTTTGCTATAGAGCTTGAGCGATATATGCACTTTTTTTTTGTGTGTGTGTGTGTTTTGTGTGTACAGATGCTTACCAGAATATGCTATATAAACTTCTTCATAAATTTATGTTAAGCTCAAATGAAACTGTATACCTCTGACCTGAGAGTGAAAACAATACAAAAATTATAATCATTCTTCAAAGGAGCACAGGAAAACCTCTTCAGAAATTCTGTAACGACACAGGCCAAAGGAAACAACGGGTGGACATTTTTCGGCTGTGTTCCCATGCGTTAGGTCTCGCCTGCTCTCGGTGATCTTGGCAGCAGAGCGAGCACACGGCTCTCAGGGCTCCAGGCTCTGCCTTCTCGCAGCATCGCGGCATCCAGCCACAGATGGAGGAGCCTGGATCTTTACATGCACATCTTCTCCTTGTCAACCCACGCGGCTAAGCCACGCTCACAGAAGCCAGTGAAAACACATTCACTGACTCACAAATCTGTATGGGTTTTCTGTATATCAGCGTTAATAGCTAGGTAGTCCAAACCAGAGTGCTTGTGAGAAACGGCCAATTTCCTTGGGAACTGAAATTTCCCATAACCTTATTTTGCCTCTATAGTCTTTGGCTAAATATCTGCACTACCTTTGCATTAAGTATAATATTTTTCTTTTCTAGTTGTAATTCAACATAAGACATTGCTGCTTTTACCTCCGTGGAAGTATTTTAGCAGGTTTTTTTCATTCAAGCCATCTTACAACATCCATGTAAAAGGATGGATGTACAGACTTGTACAGACTGTTCCATTGCCTGCTTTTACCCCACTCAGTTATTTAACCGTCGTTAGTACGGAATTGTTAATGGATCTGGCAACACTCCACTATAATGCCTTTGCAAAAGCTCAAAAATAGCACTTTTTTGTATTGTAGAATAAAGGCACCAGTTGGTTTTGAATAAGCTCTTGCAGGATGTTAATCCTGTCCTTTAAGGACAGGTCTGTAATTTTTACTTTTACCATTCCAGCTTCTTGCATTATTCATAAAGGTATTTATGCAGACAAGATAAATAGGATAATTTACCTCAAAATAAAACACAATGGCTTCAGAGCCCAGTGAAAAAGTAAAATTAAAATAATTCAATCTTTTCTAATGCCTCATCACATTAAAGTCACTGTGTGATAATACTGAAAGGAAAACTGCTCAGTGTCATGTAATAGCTAGCAATCTACAGTTTCAATGAGACGGAAGAGTTTTATTATAAAAGTGTCTGTTCATCAAACTCTTACTGTGCTCTTTTTCATGCAAAAAACAGAAGATCCTTATCTTTAGCTCTCTGTTGATCGGGACACCTATAAGCAGGAAAAGCATGTACTAACAAGAAAGGATCACGCAGGTCTCAAGCTTCCTGAATTAAAATCCTACCCTGACAGTTAACTCCATTAGTTCTAAAGCATTACAGCTTTGTTTTCCACCTTGGACTATTTTTCTTCAACATAAAAAGACCAGAATAATTCACCCAGCCAACCGAGGCATAAGTTCTATGTAAAATACAGCCTCTTCTCATCTCCTACTCTCGCATGAGCCTCACTTCCATGAGACAGAGATAGCAAGAAAGGAATCATAGAATGGGTTGGGTTGGAAGGGACCTGAAAGATCATCCAGTTCCAACCCCCCTGCCATGGGCAGGGACACCTGCCACTAGACCAGCTTGCTCCAAGCCCCATCCAGCCTGACCTCGAACACTTCCAGGGATGGGGCAGCCACAGCTTCTCCGGGCAACCTGTTCCAGTGCCTCACCGCCCTCACAGTGAAAAGCTTCTTCCCTATATCTAATCTCAGTGCACCCTCTCTCAGTT